CACAACTGAAAAAAATCAGGTGGTCCCTCAGTCCACACACACACGAAATAAGTCAAGAATATTGGAAATTTGAACCAGTGCCAATCAGCCATTTAATGACTAAGGAAGAAAAATGCCACAGGACTCTTTATTCCAATAAACTATAGCACGGATCTGTTTATGGTTCAAGGCCTGATCGCAGATGGTTACAAAATAATAATTAAAAAAATTCACAGGTGGTAAGATTTCTCTACGCAGTGTATATATTTTGTATTAATAATAATATTTTTACTTTCCTAGCATGTACTGTATTCAATGCATATTTAACTCCTTCGCATCCTATAAGCACGGTGTCTGTAACGATTATGCTAAAACAAAATTTTATTTTTTTTATTGATTAATAAAATATGAATTCAATATAAATAAATGGCGGTTGATAACACAGCTGTGCGTCAGAGACACCCTGTGGCTCTAGGACGTTACAGTCCCAAAATCATTATGGACAACACGTATCTTTAGAACCCGTGGCGGATTAAAGCAAAAAAAAATTTTTTTTTTTCTTATTCTTATAACAACTAATAATTGCCTATATATACTAACGTTTATTTAGGTATTGTGGAATAAAAATTTTTAATTATTTACTAATTTTACGTGTTCCAGAATTCCCCTCAAAACCTGTCCTTTGGCGGTGCACAGCAACAAAATGCGCCTGCGTTTGGGACGCCCGCAACACAAGCGCAACGTACGTATCCATCGTCAAAATGATCTTTAGTATGAACAATGCCCGAATATCAAGTTTGTAGGTTTTCGCGATTGTTACACGTTGGAAATAATACTGTACAATGTATAAATAATACTACTAAATAATATATTTTCTCTAAATCGCGTATATTTGTTTTTTCAAACAAACCAAATGAATGCAAACCTTAATGCAAAATTTAATATATTTAACTTAAAATGTTAAATACGCTATGTAATGGCTTACGACAATTTATGTGCGAGGTATTTGGTTTATTTGAAAAACAAAATATTCGCGTTAAAGATCGGATACTTTCATTTCCAATACCGAATATTTGAAAAAATTAATCATATACGAAATACCTTAACGTTTACTTTTGAATAGAAATTAAATTCCCCTGAAACCTATGAATACCTTAAATTGTTTATAAGGTTAATTTATATTAAATGTACTATTGATATCAACACAGTAACTAAATATCCAGGTACAATTTGCAGAACCAACTTAGAAAAAAGTAGTAATTAAAATAATTTACTCGGGAATCGGATGAACGACACGCGCCAACGAAGTCGTCAAATTTATACTTTGTTTATTATACAGAGTGTTTTGTTTTTAATGGGAAAGGAAACTTTTGTGAAAACAGTTTTGGCATAGTCACACTTCAATTCACTTTTTGGTCAAGCGCGAGTTGTCCATAAAAATGAATAAAATTGATCAAATTTTTTTTAGTGCTGATCGACTCAGTTTTATGTAAGGATCATTTCATTGTATGGGACGAAAAAATCGGAACAGCAGAAGTTGATCAAATTTCATAAAATATTTTTCATACAAAATGAATAAAATTGACTATTTTTTTAATGCTGATAGACTCAGCTTTAAGATTATTTTTTAAGATTATTATTTAAGATTATTTTTCATACAAAATTATTTTTCTATCATGATATTCAATAATGTTTTATGAAATAACTCCACTAGTTTGTTATAATTATTCATACAAACGCACTTTATTTTTTTTTAGCTTCTGCGTTCGGCTCTCCATCCGCTTCTAGTTTCTCGTTCGGCGCAGCTGCAACAACAGCATCCACCGGCCTCGCCTTCAATACGCCTGCGTCTGGATTTTCTACAGCACCACAACAGCAACAACAAGCGGTAATAACTCGCTATTTACTATACTTATATTAATATTGTTTAGGGCAAAAAGCCGTGGTAGTCTAATGATTGACCTACCGCCTCTCAAGCAGAGGTGGGTGCGAATCCGTCGCACCTCTGAGTTTCTCGGAATTTTTTGATGAAGGAAAACATCGCGATGAAAGTTCACAACCCTCATTAGACCAGCGTGGGGGATTAAGGCCTAAACACTTGTCTGAGACGAGACCCGTACCCAGCAGTAGGACGTATAAATGAAATCATGATGATGATGATACCCGCATAGACATTTTTAGCTATGAAAACGTTAAGAAAAATAAAATAATTATATTAAAAAATACTATAAAATACAATCCGATCGAAAAGCTTTCAAAGAGTCACTTTTGACAGGTCAGCAGATGTTTCGGTCAAGCTTCGTTTTTTTTGTATGAGACTTGGTTGTTCTCTTTTCAAAATTTGCTTAGCCTTTTGTGAGAAACCAAACATTTCATAATTGTTAAACGCTACCACGCCATCTATCGAATAAGTTAACAACAATTTTATGTAACTGTCTGGAAAATTCCATGGCCATTTGGTTTATCAATTAAAGACACTGATTGACACACTGAGACAGCCAACACTTGGCACGATTTAAGATTTAAATTAAACTCTTTACCACTTATCCTAAGAACGATCCAAATTGTGAAAGTATAATAATAAATAAGAATAAAATATCTCAATATTTGTCAAACACGATTGTTTCTCTAACAGACTACAACGTCAACTGCACAACCTGCACAATCAGGCTTCGGTCTAGGCGGGGCTGGATTCGGTCAGTCGGCTTTCGGAAAACCGAATGCTGGATTTGGATTTGGAGGAACTACTGGTGCAGGTAATAATCCTTGTTTCCTTATACTAAATTTAAGGCTTTCCATCAATGAGTGCATGTGTGTGGGTACGGTAACAAACTTGTCTTAATCTTCTACAGAAAACGGCATGAAAATTCAACTCTATGCCCTGCACGATAATACGACCCAAGGTCTAAAGGTGGTTTTCCACCGGCAAGGCAAGACGAGAATTGAAACGCCTGCCTACTTCCACCAAAAACTGCCATTAATAGCTCGCGTTGTGGTTGTCGGTAGTGCAGATTCAGTGCTATTCAGTTCGTTTAGAGATAAACTCGCGGCCGAGTAACATGTCCCATAAATTATGATTAATATATATATTAACGGAAGAGAATCAGGTAAAACCACCTTTTTTAAAATCTCAAATCGTACATTCCCCATATCTCGATTGATATTAATAGACATCGCGAGCTCACGCGAGATCGTGAGGGCACTCGCGAGTTCGCGCAAGTAATCGTGTTTGTGTTTCCGTTGGAAGGTATAATACTCTATGTATCCTGCAATGCGGTTCAAAATTACTTCAACATATACTTCAAATATCATCATATATTTCTCGCCTCGTCAATCTAAACCATTTCCACCGAAGATGCGCTAGGACAGAATTGAAATTTTGCCATACAAATTTCAATCCTCGTCTCGCCTCCCCATTGGAAAAGCACCTTAAATGATAATTTTCGGAATTTTACAAAAGGAAAATTCAACTATTCAAAATATTTGCACCCGAATGTCCATAATAAAATGCTATTTCCGACTTGTTATTTTTCCGACAATTATTTCCTTTTAAGGAAAATTGCTTTCTGAAAACAGAAACTCATGAAATAATATAATCATTATTTACTTAACGGTCACTGCCAGCATAATCTATGGCAGAATGGGGTCATTTAAAAAAACTTAAGGAGAAGGACATCTCAAATTTCCTGTCATTTTTAACCGACTTCAAAAAAAGGAGGAGGTTCTCAATTCGACTGTTTTTTTTATGTACGTTAAGCGATAACTCCGGTATTTGTGAACCGATTTCGATGATTCTTTTTTTTTTTGTTGGAAAGAGTGTACCTCCAAAGTAAGGGTGGCTGTTCACGCATGAAGATTCATTGTTATAAATAGCGCCAAAATTTTATTATAAGGAGCAATTGTTTTAATGGTTAATTTTGTGGGAACCGATTTTTATTATCTCATATATCGATATTTTATTGTATCAAGTCTCATATAGTGGCGAACTAGACGATGAATCCGGGTTTGAGCACGATCCGGTAACCAATTTTCAATAAAATATGGCAAATAAATGTAATTTCACGTACTTTTGAAGTCGGTTTTTTTAGTACTCAGTACTGAGTACAAGTTTGCAAGACAATAATCTCAATTATTGTCTTGCAAACTTGTAAATACCTAAATATGCTATTGCATCCATTTCTTAGTTACTATATTAGGAAATACGTATTTATCTAATTATTTACATAGTTTATAATTGCGTGTTATTGCTATGATATTGTATTTGTGTTATATAATTTTTGTTTTGTTGGGCACATAAGCCACTATATTTTAGGTATTATGTCCTGTACTTAAGCCTGTTGGAAGAAATTTCTTTATGAAATAAGCAAAACCTCTTTATTGTGTTTTCCTTTTGTTAAATATGAATTGTGTGTGTCTTGTACAATAAATGATTAAATAAATAAAATAATATCAAAAATTCTCATTTACAGCACCACTACCATTTGGATCTGCGACACCAGCTACCGGCTTCGGCCAACCTGCACCAACTCAGGCGACTACAAGTGCGCCAGCAGCATCCTTCAGTACACCAACGGGTTTCGGCTTCGGCGCAACCACGGCTTCCCCTGCACCTGCTTTTGGTGCTAGTACTCAGGCGACAACACAGGCTGGACTAAATTTTGGCACTACAACTACTCAAAGTGGACTAAGTTTTGGTGGTTCATCAGCTAAACCTGGTTTTGCCTTCGGTCCAGCATCCACACCAGTTGCTTCTACTGGTTTAGGAGCGCAGGCGCCTGGACTAAGTTTTGGTGGCGCTACAGGGGCAGCGCCAGTATCATCTGCAGTTCCTACTGCAGGACTTAATTTTGGTGGCACACCAGCGTCTACAGCAGCTACAAGTCTTAGTTTTGGCGCTCAGGCTGTAACTGCGGCGCCTACAACTGGACTAGGTTTTGGTGCTCCGACTGCATCTGTAGCACCTACAACTGGACTGGGCTTTGGTGTTACTCCAGCTTCCGCAGCTGCACCTGCCAGTGGACTAACTTTTGGTGGCACGCCAGCGACATCAGCAGCACCTACAAGTTTAAGTTTCGGTGGCATACCAGCTTCTACAGCCCCCGGACTAAGTTTCGGTGGCACTCCTAGTTCATCAGCAGCCCCTACAGCTGGCCTTAGTTTTGGAACGACAGTATCGTCAGCACCAACTACAAGCCTCAGTTTTGGAACGCCAGCCACTACCACAACTGCGGGGCTAAGTTTTGCTGCTCCTGCATCCACGGCTACTCCTGGTTTAAGTTTTGGTACTTCAACATCATCGGCGGCACCAACGGGATTAAATTTTGGTGGCACATCAACTGCTGCGACGTCGGCTGGATTAAGTTTTGGTGGCACAACGGCGGCCACGACGTCAGCAGGTCTCAGTTTTGGCACTACAACAACTTCCAGTGGTCTAGGCTTTGGCACTGGCACTTCTGCAGGATTGGCATTTGGCAAGACTGTTAGTACTACCGCCGCCTCTTCTACTGCAGGTTTGACATTTTATCTTTTTTTTTTACATTTTTTTTACATAAAGAACTGACTGATCTTTAAAATATTCATTATTCGTTCTCGAATAGAATCTGTTTCAAATTTTCTTTTCGTATTTGCTTTTACAAAAAGTGACATATTTCATTGTCATTTTAATTTTTTTCAATCAAACATGAATGGAACATATTTTTAAACAAAATCGCAAACAAAATCAGCATTTTTAACACAAAAGCAAATTTATATATTTTTTTTATAAGCCACACTCTCTCACAAGACAGTACAAACTGTCACTATCTTAAAATAAACTATATGGAAATGACATAAGGTACAATTTTCAACAAATAATTTTAACACATCTCAAAGTGTGCACCATAATTAAGAATTGGCAGACATTATCTGGAAGTTTCAAATGTGTTTTCAATGTCGTTGTAATCTTATGTTTTGTGTTATTCTTATTAACTCTTCTATATACTTTAATGTCGGTATTGAATTTAGTAAGTCAAATAAACTGTTTATAATTGTTTTTTTTTCTATCAGCAAGCACAGCAGCATTATCGGGTATAACGACGCTTGGCAAAACTACAACCACAACCACTATGGCCTCTCTTACCACTGCTACTACGTAAGTTCATATTCTTTTGTAATTTTGAATGTCACCATGTTTGACCACTATTTTCGTAAAATTACTCCACTAGTTTTAGTAGCAGTAAAGCTCCTTGTGAAAGAGTTCGTCCAGGGAAGTACTGCCTTACCTATTTCTGCCACCAAGCAAGAAGGGTGCTGGTGAAATGACAGGCATATGAGACTTGCGCATGAGACGGGCGCAGTGGCGATGCCCCTCAGATCTTTGCGATTAAAGCTTTGAGTGGCGCTGTAACTGTTATGGACAGGCGTGTCGCTTACCATCAGGCGCACGACTTGTTCCTCCCGTCATTAGATATTATAAAAAAAAGTTATGTGAACTGCGTTCCGGTTTTGAAGGGTAGGGTGCTGGTGAAATTACGGGCACATGGGACTTTTCAACTTGTTATGGTCAGGCGTGTCGCTTACCATCAGGCGCACAACTTGTGAGTCCCGTCACTTAGTATCATAAAAAAAAGGTTTGTTGTAATTATTAATACAAAGATCGTACACTTAGAAAAAAATCCTTCGATCCAGCTGGATTCGAACCAACGTCTTCCAGCAAGCCGTGGCAGACGCTATGCTAACTAAGCCACGGAACGAACTTGCGGGTCTTACGAATTGTTCTATGTGCTTATGTGCAGATCTTTGTTTTCGGTTTTTAGCGACTTTTTAGCCGTAGCGGCATCTGTGACAAATCTATTTCTTCCCTCAGCCAGGTACCTTTACAGCTACCAGCAGCTGTATATATAATAATTGTAATTTTTAATTTATTGAATGTCATGATGTTTGACCAAGATATTCAATTATTTTTGTGAAATTTATTAAATTCATCTTCTTTTGTTTTCTCACTTATAGCTAGTTTATACCTGTTAAGTGACGAAACAATTAACTGAGTTTTAACATTTTATGAACTTGCATTACAGCACAACAACGGCTGGTCCACCTCAGCCGTTCACAGCAATAACGTTCACTCAGTTAGAAGAGAACATCAATAAATGGACGTTGGAGCTGGAGGAGCAAGAAAAGACGTTTATCAACCAAGCCACGCAGATTAACGCGTGGGATCGATTGCTTATCGCAAATGGGGAAAAGGTACGAACACATAGTTGGTGACATTATGAATATGATTCGGCAAAGCAAAACAAAATTCTCTCAGTTCCGATTATCCCGTGCATCATACCCTTTTGGCGGAAAGGCCAGTAGCATCCTAGGCCCTATTCTCGAAGCACGAAATCCGTAGTTACGGCCGTTTTCCCACTTCCCGAGTTGAGACTCGTGCCCACCTGGACACCCTCAGACCCGCTACTTAATGTATTATAATAGCCAACCAATGTAGTATTGAGTAGAACACCACGCTGACCCAATAAGGGTAAGGTATATCACACGTCTTATAATTATTATTAATATAATAGACTCAGTGATACAGACTCTTTAAGCTTTCCCCCACGAGCTATGACAGATACGTAAATATGTCATTTCTCCCAATTTCACAGATCGTAGAACTGAACGACGCAGTGCAAACAGTCAAAAACGAACAACAAAGTCTAGAACACGAATTAGACTTTGTCCTAGCGCAACAGAATGAGTTAGAAGGCTTGCTGGCGCCTCTAGAGAAACAATTGCTCGAAGAGGGAGGAGACCGGCTGAGGGACCCTGAAAGGGAACACATGTGAGTAATTGATACTTTATTAATATGGGTTGTTTAATTACAAAGTTCACCCCAAAACAAGAATTTAAAATTGGAAATTAATAATTTTTCAAAAGGCATTAAAAAACAAAGATCTGCAACAAGCACATAGAAAAATTTCATTCCTTGGCTTAGTTGGTATAGCGTCTGGCTTGGTTTGCTAGAAGACGCTGGTTCGAATCCAACCGAATCGAAGGATTTATTTCTAAATGTTCGATCTTTGTATTATTAATTAAAACTTATTACTTATTCCAGCGTGTACAGTAAAATATCCTTATAGTTCTTGATCGGCTGACCGACTAAATCTAGTTTTTTGCTGCTAGTACTGGGGCTGAATGGCGACTTTTTACCTGACTCTCTCTCTTTTTAAATATACCCAATGTATATTTTTTGTCACTGTCTCTTTTAGGTACTCCTTAGCAGAAAACCTGGACACACAGCTACGTCAGATGTCCGAAGACTTGAAAGAAGTGATTGAGCACCTTAACGAGACTAACAGAAGCCAGGATAGCAACGATCCTGTAAGTTAAACTTTGTCGATCCAAACCATTGACTTACAAATAAATGGACGACGGGTCTAATACAAAAACCACGAAAAAAATGTCCCAAGTCAACCTATTCGAAATTTAAATTGTAATGTCATCGCAGTATCGCGCTGTCAGTAGAACAAATGAAGACTAAAGCGGAGTGTCGCGCTCTGTATACGATTTTAGCGCCTTACAAGTGCGGACACTTTTTAGCGCGGACCCGACGTCCATATAATTGTAAGTCAATGATCCAAACGTAAAGTTTACCCGTGACAGGATTGTAAGGATGTCTAAATAAATTTGTACCAAGTGCACACTTCAAAACTGCATCTAACTCACAAGTTACCTTAAGGTTCAATATTAGCATGGACTAATAACCTAGAGGACTGCTAATAATGCGATACAAGACAGCGTAGTCGGGTATTTAGTACATATTGGTCATCGAGTATATAAGAAATAGAGACGAAATAAGGGCCATACATTCCTGGTGACTCATACAAATTTCAACTCTCGTTTGCACTGAAATATAGACAGCACCAACAACTGACCTGTGTGTACGTCTCCGTATATTCCAAAAATATTTTGTATTTATTGTAATAAAGTTAATATCTCTAACAATGGCGTGCCGTTCCATTCAGTGGTGTGATGAAAAACAGTAAAACATTTAATTTATTTATAGGTTATGCATTTTTACTATTCATGTAAGGACAACCACTAGTATGACTCAATTAAACAAATCGGTTCATTCAATTAATTAATCGATTTTTAGTTTGCATTACAATTGGCCATCACTAAAACGTCTATGGTCGGTCAGTCACTTGTTTGTTTACTTTTTGTTTAAAATGGATTGAAACGAAGTATAATATAATTACATCCTTCAAGCCCAAAAGTATGCCCTCAGTTTTGTATGAAAAATACAACCGTGATTTGTTATAGTATTTTTCTAGATACCGTACAGTCGTACAGACTATACAGTACGTACGTTCCCAGACTTTTTACCTCACCGTTGGCAAGATATAAAAATTTCAACTGTCACCACCATAAAACATAACTGAAAACACGTGTCTTTTATATTAACTTCACACAAAAATCACAAGGAAAAAAATATATTTATGTAGTGTAGTTTATATAGATAATTCAGTATAATATTATAATAATTTTTCTAATGCGGTATGCGGTGGACAGCATCAACTCCAATTGCTTCCGACGGAATTGCACTGGGGGGCAGGGGGTAGGGACCACTTCGGGAAACTATGATATAGCGCTAAACTTGAACGCGATATTTTCGTAACAATGCACTCTGAGCGTTAAGTGATCATAGAAATAATATTCTCTGGACCTGAATCACTTCACACATAATGCACATTTATATTTTATATATATATTTATTTATTTATTAATAATTATTACAAAAAGAAAACTTATAAATTAAAACATAGCGGCACAACGAAAACCTGAATAAGTTTATCCGTACACCGCGACTCATTGACATGAGCTCGTAACAAAACTGGCTAACCCCTTTGCTTACGTACGCTTACCCACTACCATAGAAACAACCACTACTCGAGTAAAAGACATGTGAACGAAAATAATAAATTATAGTGAAAGAGATAAATACCCTCGGAGTGGTGTTACAATAAAAACAGTCAATCACGTATACAGGACGTTCAGAGTTTATTTAATAAATATTATTTAAGATTTGTTTTTATGCTGTTAGTTGTAAGGTTAACTTTTATTTATGGTGGTAGAGAATTAATTATTTTAGGTATTTGATAACTCAATCGATTTTTACCGTATATATTATTATAACGAGGTATTATTAGTAATTGGTTGGTTACACTTCGAGTTTCCATTTTGTGACTGACTTTTTTTTGCAAGTTTTTATTTTAAAAATTGTTCTATAAGTAAGGTATATTTAATTTTATCATAAATCGGTAAGATTTTGCAATATTCGAAGAGATCGTGATAATTACTTTTATGTATTACCGTAACTTTGTATGGAACTTTTATCTTTATTATACGAAGTTGATAAATTAAATTAAGCTTAGTTGTACATGACCTACCATAGCTAATAAGGCCATAAGAAATTATGGATTCTCCCAAAGCCATAAAAAGAGATAACAGAGTTTGGAATGGAATTTTATTTCATATCAGAGTAAACTTGGCAAGTATTGCCCGCAGCTTATCGCATACATGATTAATGTCATCCGTCATTTGAATCTTTTGTCAATTAGAAGTCCGAGTTATCGCTGTGTTTTTACCACTTCAATTGCCTTGCATACACAGTCTGTTTAGTCTGTATTTAGGCAATCATGACTGTGTGCAATTGATAAAAGTCGTGTAGAAACTCTGTTTTTACTTAATATATATCAATTTGTATTTTATTTATATATATCAATTTTGTTTTACTTGCATTAAGCACCAGACCGACATCGTGGGACCATTTTGTTAACAACGTAAAGTCGTGTTGTAAGCAACGCAATGCATCGTTTATATTTTTAGAAGCTGCAACGAGACAGGTATCATCAGCGAACTTATATATCTCGCATTTATTTATAAGGTGGACAACATCATTGACATACGTCTGTCAATGTAACGGTCCCAAAACTGAACCTTGAGCCGTACCCTCTGTTACATTAATTTTGTCACTAAATTGATTGCTAACTTTGACATAGTTAGAATCTATGATTTAGGTAATTTTGACTCCATTTTTTGAGTGGTCCCCTAATACACAGTCGTCAAGTTTCTCCATAAGAACGTCAAGACGCAGTGTGCCAAAAGCTTTACTATATAATCTATGAACACAACTAATACGTGCTTTTGGTTGTTTAAATGATCAAAGATTGAGTCCGCAAAATTTCATAATAATTGAGTGATACTTTTTAGAGGTTGGAAACCATATTGTGATTCAGTCAAGATATTGTTTTTATTGTAAGTCTATTATTTGTCTACCTACATGTTTCTCTGCTATTTTGTCAATGACAGGTAATATCGTTATGGGACTATTATTGTCGTAATTCTTGCAACTACCATTTTTGTGGATTGGTCATACTATACCAGTTTTAAGTTCAGTGGGGTATTCCCCGCGGTCAATGGAAATGTTGATAAATCTGGCGATAATGGGTGCAATTGGATCAGCCATCATTTTTAAGTCAACTGTTCTTATTTGGTCAATACCAGGGGCTTTATTAATATTGAGAGAGTGAATAATTGTTTTAACAGATTGGGCTGTCGCTTTTTGATATCTGATAGATACATTGGTAGGTCTCCTGTAGCTGAACGGGTCCAGAATTTTTCTGTTGCAGCTTGGGATGTTATTCGAGAAGAAATGGCAAAATTATTACTAATTTCGCTTATTTTCTTTACAGTACTCTCAAAGGCGTTTCTAATTATACCATCTACTGAATTTTTAACCCTCCCCGTTATTTCGTACAAGATACGCCGTAGATTGCGCATGTTATTTTTATTGTTATTAATATCGTCTTTGATTTGTTTATTTTTTGCAGCAACTATTAACTATTATATATTAAGTATTAATTTATTTCCTGTATAGTGTTGAAAGTTTATTTTGGTTGTATTTAATCTTAAACTGTTGAACGTCCCGTACGCGCGGCGTGCCGATGCAAGCGAGCATCGTAGCCCGGTGGTCGGTCAATTTCGTTCCGAGTGCCGCTGTATCTTGTATGCGGGATCGCACATAAATATGATCAATCCATGATTTTGTCCCTTTGTTCTTGATACTTTCTATTCTAGTATATTGTGTGATTCCGCACGTGAGACTGTGGTTATACAATGTAGTGTTATAGTTATGTGTTACAGGGCAGTTTATTTTCAAGTTAATATTTACATCTCCTAACAGGAAAACATCGTGCGAATAATTTATTTTTTGAAGAATGGTGTCTAGTTCGTTTATAAATAAGTGTTTACTGTTTTTGGGCGGCCGATATATTGCGAGCAGAGTTGCACAGTATTTCGTTGGAGTAGTAACATGACATAATAAGTTTTCAAAATGTTGTGTTGTGCATCTAGAGACGGTGAACTTGTGTTTTTTGCGCAAATACGTAATTATTCCACCTCCTTTACGATTTCCATGCAACTCTGTGAGCATATTATAGCCAGTTAAGTGGTACAAACAACTGAGTGTAGGAGAAATGTTAACCTCAGTAACTACTATCACGTCGATCATGTTCTTATAGGTAACAAGACATCCTTAAAATGCTGAACAGTGTTTAATCATAGAACGAATATTGATGTGAAAACATGACAAATTAATAGGCGCACAATCCTTGAAGTTTCGAACATTTAGACAGTCTATAATTTCTGTAATGTCTTTAAGGTCACAATCCATAGAAATGATGATTATAGGCGTTAGTGTTTATGCTAATTATGAAAGGAAAATTTTTTTTTTATTACTTGAGCTTTTTTATATCTTCCTCCGATCGAATTATGATAGGTTTATTTTCTTGTCCATCCTTTCACACGCGTAGAACCCCTTTCCTTTCCTAATCCAGATGTACTTGTAGGTATCCTTGATTTCTTGCTTTGTGAACCGGAGGAGGTGTTTGTTATAGGGTGTTAGCGTTTCACGTACCACAATGATTTGATCTCTGTGTTGGTCTATTAGTTTAGCGGCTAAAGTACCATCGTGTGCAAAGATGTCTGATAATTTTAATTGTATTTTAGATTTTTTATAGTGTTTGTAGCCGTCCATCCATTGATCTTGAGCCTGTTCTGTTTTGAGAATAATCTGTATTGGACCTGGGTTATCCTTCCTTCCACGTTCTTTTTCTTTTTTTTTAAATTCCTTCCTTATACGTTGAGCTTGTTCTATGTCACTAGTTTGCTGTTTTAATATTTTCCCTATAGCTTGTGCCATCTGGAGGGGGTCTTCATCCTTGAAGGTAGGGATATAGTTGATATCAAGATTTCGTGAAAGTTTTCTTTGTTCGAAATCTTGAATTCTCTGTTCGAAATCTTGAATTCTCTGTTCGAGCGCTCCTGCTCTGGTTTCTAAATGATTATTTTTATTCGTAAGTTCAACATTTTTTCTTTTCAACTCTAAGATAACTTCTTTCATTTCATCTATCCTGTCAACAGCATCTTGAACTAAATCTGAGTGCACTTGTAACGAGTGATTAATGTCTTTCATCTCTCTTTTTATGGTTTTCTCTATATCAATTGAAATATATTTGAGCAATTGTTTGACATTTATTTGTAGATTGTCGGTTAAATTACCGTAACGGTCTTCGTCATCCATGTCCTCATCTGGAACCATAACAGAGCGTTTTTTTTGGAGAAGTATCGTGACACTCTTGGCAAGTCCACTCTAGGTTCTCTGTTGCACGAAGAGCCGCGAGTTGCTTGTTCGTCAAACCTGCACACATCGTGGTGAGATGCACTATTTTTTTGCAGCGACTGCATTCAACTCCGTGCTTGGTCTTCGTGATATTTTTGTTATAGTTATCACATTTCACCGAGGCCATATTTATTCACTCAGTTGCTATTTAAGAAAAATTGTTGGTTTTATGTAAGCGTTTTGCTTATTTGAGCTCCGAACGATGAATGAAACTTAGGGGGTTAAGTGACGCCGAATACAAAAAAGCTTTTAACTGACAGAAGACGTGGAGTATTGTTTGGCGTTGGCTAATACACGTTACTCGCACTTCTAGATAGATCTTAATAAAACAACTTGATCATAACTTATTTTCTCATTCCCGCAGATCGTACAAATCGGGCGCATACTCAACGCACACATGTCATCAATGCAATGGATCGACAACTCCATAGCGCAAATATCCACGAAGCTGGACCAATTGAAAGCCACACACGACACCCTGCGGCGTGACAATGAAAGATCGTTCCAGCTTACTTATAATTAAGTGTTATTTTTAATTGAAAATACGGAACAATTTTTTAGTCAACCTCTCAAATGCTATTACTGCAAAAAGTAATCAATAAAGGTAACCAGACCAATAACTCGTCGGCTGTGCGTCGGTAGCTGTCGATACATCGACCCCTCCTACGTAAAGCATCGTATGTCGAAATTGCCAAGTTTACAGGAGAGCGTTTTTAAGTTCTGAATTCACTGAAAGAGTGATCACCATAGATCGTCTAACCGATATCTAGGATTTTATAATACTATATGTGAGTAACGAGCTTTGCCGAATAAAACTGAGAAATGCTAAAGTCACGTGTTATGTTCATTTCAGAGAATTCAGAACTTTAAAACGCTTCCCTGTAAACTTGGTAATTTCGACATACAATACTTTACGTCAGAGGGGTCGACATTTTATGTGTACCTAATGTTTGTGATTTATAATACGCCTCAGTTCATAATGGTTCAAGTATACTACGATATGACACACATAAAATTCGGCCGTTTGTTGATGATCATACTGATATGACCAATAAGAATTGTTTGTATTGCTGGTCATATTTAGTCAGTTTTAACACCGTTTCAATGGGTTCAAAATTCTGGGGATTAAGGTCAAACACAGACGACCAGGACGACCCAAACGCTTATGCTCGCGCCTGTAGATATAATTCGTGACGTCATTTTCGTAGGAAAATTTTTCGTTCGAAAAAGAGATTAAGTCTCCGCAACTTATTCCTAAATTTCAATGTCACTGGGCCTTTCTCTCCTAATAAATACGCGACTGAAAATGTAAAAGAAATGAAGATAAGTAGATAAGGGAAAATATTGCCATATTTTTCGAATTGATATAATAGTAATAGTTGAATAGTTATGAATTATTAACTGCAATATGTATTTCTGTGTCTCACTGTGTAACTAAAATCGCACCGGATTACGTAAAAAATAGGAACAATTAATGAGGCCACGTTTCTGTAATACGAATTTTAAATAAGATAAATGAACATTATATACCTATCTGAAAATGTCAAACAAATAAAAAACATTTGAATTGCATTGCATTTTATTTTATATTAAAATAATACTAAGACACTACTTTCTTTGCAACTTTGAGCATTAGGTTCATTTTCCATTAGAAATCTATGATTTAAAATCAACCTTACGTTTGAAATTAGTTTCTTTTCTAAATTATCTACCAAATTATTATTTCACATTACTTATTAACAACAAAAATAGTTATGAAATCACACAAGGTGGAACCAAATCTACCTATGCCCGATTCTTGTGCCCAGATTTTTTTTCCATCCTCTAAGGTCCAGATACGTTTTCTCGGTTTGAAAATGTCACATCCCTAATGTCTACAGAAAATGTCACTAAAAATACTTATAAGAAGACTTTGCTTAGAAAAACTCTTAAATTAAAAAAAAATTAGCTTTGGTCATTTAACATGGAATTTAAACTAAAGACTAGGCTGTACGGTCTAATAGACCTTTGCCTTTCTACAAAGGAAGAAGAGAACATCAACAATCTGTCCAAATAAACTCGGTTCAATAGAGGTACCCAAAAGATTTTGAAATCCCTATTAGTACAATTTCCAATTGTATTGAAAACTTTAATTAAATTGTATCTATAACGAATTTTTTATACTTAAATTCAAATTCAACTTAACAAGTCGGAATAAAAGTAAATGCGTCATTTGATTGCTTCAGTGGCACAATGGTTCAGGGTTCGATTCCCGGTAGGACTAATTTGGGAAACAAAACTTTTTCAAATCAGTTCTGAGTGTTACGGGTAGTGCCACAGAAATAATTTTGTTGCTCTTGCACTCATGCTACACGAAATTCCCTCGTTTGAGACCAAGTCATTGGTGTGGTAATTATTATTATATATATTAAATTAATATATATTAATTGTTATTATGTAAGTGTGAAAATAAAATCTTTATCAAAAGTAAAGTTTATGTCAACAATTTTATTTGTCTTATCCAAAGTGTAAACACTACGTTGCCATATTTCTAGTGTTCATAAGACTTCGCGAACGATGTCCTTTACATCTATCATGAGTTTAGTGTAATAGTTGTCCTTAGATACCGTGTAAAAATATTTGTCAATTTTGTAAGTATCACAAATTTTACAGCGCCCCTAACATTTTGACACAGCAAAGTAACATTTGGAACAGTCGCTTTATCTCATAGCAGAGGTTTCAAACTAGCCCGTTGCACCAATAGACCAATAGACAAGCTCTGAGTGGCACTGCGAGTGTTATGGACTGGGCGTGTAGCTTACCATCAGGTGCACAACTTGTTCGTCCCATCACAAAACATATAAAAAAAAACTAGAACTACTCCCAGACACAATTCATTTTATTAATTAATTGCATTTTTATTCGTAAAGGGTATAAATAAAAATATTGATATCATTGAAGAAAAAGTTTTCCCCTGTTCGACAAAAACAAAATTTGAACAAGGACATTATGGAAACGTTTAGTATGCCAGCAAATAGCATTTTTGTAACTTATTTGTTTAACATTCACGAGCTACACTAATTTCTAGTGAAAACAAACAAATCAACTAGATGGCGCTTATTGCACTGATTTTTATGAATGGTGCCGGCTATTCTTTTATTCTGTTTAGGATTAGTGTAGGAACGGGTAATATAGCTATTTCTGAGTATCATATCGAAACTATATACCAATATTCGAAATCGGATTTCGAATCTATAGGTATATTTTCTGAAACTATATACTCATGGATATAGCCCGCGTGCGCGCTGCCTTGATACATAGCCGTTACTGATATTCGGAATCGGATTTCGAAACTATATATTATTGGATATAGTTTTACAAGAGCAATGCGGGCCAATGTTAGTATACAGTTTCGATGAGGCACAAAAAATGGTTTCACGTTGATACCCACTCAGTGAATATTTGATACGAAGCAATATCGGTATATAGTTTGGAAAATATATGATATCGCTCGGCGTGATTCGGCATCGCTATAAAATACACTATGCGAAGCAATATCGATATATAGTTTGTAAGATACAGGATATCGGATATTCGATATTGCCAAAATATATAGTTTCAATAACTATATACGATTTGTAACGCCCATTCCTAGATTAGCGCCATCTGGTGTCAACGGTAACATGAGTCTCTTAACTGCCTCCATGGCCGAACGGTTACCATGCCGGACTGCCACGCAGAGGCCCCAGGTTCGATTCCGGGGCCGGGAGAAATATTTGTATGGCCTACATTTATTTCTCTCGTGAGTTTGGATGTAATTTGTGGTTGTCTATGTGTGTATCCATGGCACCCGCGACACAGGGTTTCCCTAGTGCGGGGCTTGTTGAGTGTGTGCGTTATTATTATTATTAACTTGTAACAACTTGGTACTTGGTGCAACGGGCTGGTATCCGCAACTCGACGACAAAGCGCCTATTTTGTAACTTGTGACAAACAATGACATCTACTGACACGTATATTTGTTCAGAAAGTAATTTTAGCTCATTATCAATATTTGAACAATATTACAAGTATAAAAAACTGACTTCTTACATTTCATATTAAAAAGAGATTAATTGATATCCACGGCCATTCAAATAATTTATACTAGTGATCAGCGCCATTTACAAATAGTCATTTCGCTGACTCAGCGACCCGAAATGGATCTTGGCCTCCGTCACTAAGATGCGCCACTTTTCTCTCTTCTGTGTCGCTTATTGCGAATCGGCTATTCGAAGCTCACACAGGTCTTTGTCGACTTGGTCGTTCCAGCGATATCTAGGACGTCCAATCGGTCTTCTAAGAGTCGGTTGCCCCAGATATGCTCTCTTGACTGCACGATCCTCACCCATTCTCTCGACGTGGCCAAGCCAGCGAAGTCGGGCTAATTTGGTCTTTTCCCTGATGTTAGGGCAGTTTACATATAAGACGGAATTTTGACCTTTTTCAGAGTTACGATATGTAGTTTGGAGATTAGCAATCCTCTTGAGTAATTGGTACATGTTTTTGATCAATGAAACATTTTTAAGCATAAGACGTTTTACTGAGAATTTAAAGTCCATGTTTTTTCAAAATATTTTTTACTGTGACATTTTCTTTATCATCTGAGTGTCCTAAAACACAATACCACTAATAAAACACTGCAACTTCACATTCTCTTCAGTCTGTAAACACAAGATGACTAACTTCTTATGAACTATACTACACACAGTTCGATTGTGCGAAATTTGATCCGCACTCAGGAACATCGATAACTTCTTTGTATCTACTCTGCAATGGCATATTCGAGACAGGTCTTCGTTTATTTGGGACTCTGTTTCTGAGTCTGAGTGGTCGATTGGGCCTGAAATAGAAAGAAATTAGGTTATAAAAAAATAATTGCTCATTAGACCTCCATCTCACCTGATGAAAAGTGACGATGAGGCCGACCATGGAGCATGCACTCCTAAATAATGCCTATTCCCTCTCGTCTTGAAAAGGCCCAAATTATAGCGTTTGGCGATTAAGTCTACTGGTAGGTAATTCCATTCCTTAGCTGTTCGCCATAATCAATGTGGAAGTGAAATGTTTCGTGCGGATCATTGGAACACCCACAACAAGATGAAAGGCGGAATTCAATCATGCAATTCCATCGCACACTCTCCGTGAAAGTTGGTATACATATATGTATACTATATTTAATAAAGCGTTCCTAATCATATTATTTTGATAGTGCATCAAGTCATCTTAGTACATATCTTGTACCACTACTAATTTTCATACAATAAATTGTGGCGCGGATTCCGTCTAATTTGAAGACGCTCTTAGGGTCGTATTCCAGAACTCTACGTGAGTAGAGTGAGCACTGAAAAGTGAGCAGTGAGCACTGAAAATCATACTCAAGTCCTTGCCATTAGGGTCGTATTTCCAGTGCTTGAAATCATACTCAAGTCTGCTCAAATCCTGACTTGAGCATTGAGTACAGTTCTAGAATACGACCCTGAAGTTGATGTCACAAAAATTATTGTAACTTCTTTATAGCTCCCCATTAACATCTGGATTTCTATATTAGACCATAAATTTAAGTCGAATTATGAATGTTTAAGTTTATTGAATGTCACGACGTTTTACCACCATTTTTTTTTGTGAAATTACTCCACTAGTGTTGTCTATGTGCTCGATCTTTGTTAGTAATAATTATAACAAAATAGTGGAGTAATTTCACAAAAAAAATTAATATCATGGTGGTAAAACGTCGTGGCATTCAATAAACTTAAAAATTACAATTATAGCGATATCTCTAGTCAGCGATTGTAGCAAAGGCACCTCTCCGAGTGAAGAAATACATTTCTCACAAATGGCGCTACGGCAAAAAGTCGTTAAACCAAAAACAAAGTTAGCAAGAAGCACATTGACAATAAGGTCTGCTGGTTCGTTCGAATTATGAATGTTAATGAAAAACAATATTAATATTTGTGACATCTAAGGTTTTCACCGTTTAGTTCCATCAATGCATACAAAGCATTAGGCTTCAGTGGCCATTATGCCTAAGACTAGTGAGTATTTGTTTTGTTTTATATTTCCTAAATGACGATATTCCACCTAAATCCTCTGCCAACATAATCTAAACTAAAAAAAATAAATTCCATAATCGTAATCACCGATAAAAATTTTATTGTCTTAAATCTCACCTTGAAAAGCCTCTACCCTCAAGTCTTTGAACCTCGTTGACACTTTAGCCATGTCAGTATTAATCTGCAACGTAAGCCTGCCTTCAGCTGAAGCTCTGATGACAACTTCTGAAGACATTGTTTTCATACGGTCTATTGTTGTACGGAGCTGCTTTAGTGGAGGCAGTTCTATTGATATCTGTAGCAAAATAGAAGGTATAAGGTTACCAACCAATTATGTACAGTCAATTACACATATTAAAAAAATGTTCTTTAAGCACACTTTACCAAAACGAATTCTGAACTTATCTTAGATATTACCATGAGGTATCAATTCATACAAATTAACTTTAGTATTATTTAAAACTGTAAATGACAACACTTGGATAAATAAAAAAATAAGAAGTATTGAATCTCGAAGATTTGAAGCATAAAATATTTTAAAAAATGAACATCTATTTAAACAACATTTTACGACAGTGAAATTAAAATTAATGTACAATTATGAAAATTGATGAAAAAATTTAACTGTTGTTGAAAGATTTTTTTGCTATATATAATATTAGGGGTTAAAGTATGAAATTGCCGTTTTATTGCAATAGGTTCTTTGAATTTTCATAGAATCTTCATGGTTTGAGGTTTTCGAATGAAACTTTTTTCAAATGATTTCTGTGATTTTTTTTTTTTTAAATTTGAAACATTTGAATATCGACTTTCAATTGTTTTTGTTATTCAATTTAGACAAGAAAGATGGATACTGCGAAAATTCGAGTGATTTTTGAAAACGAGTTCCGACACGGAACTAACGCGGCAGAAACAGCCCGCAATATCAATGCTGCGTTTGGAGAGGGGTCTACTAATGAACGCACCGTGCGATTTTGGTTTAAACGCTTTCGTGATGGAAATTTCGACTTAAAGAACGAGCCACGAGGAAGACCGCCCACACAGGTGAATAACGATGAATTAAGAGAGATAGTGGAAGCCGATCCTAGTCAAACTACCCAGGAATTAGCGGCATGGTTTAACGTTACCTTACCCACAATATTGACTCACTTGCGTCAAATCAATAAAATAAAAAAATACGAAAAATGGGTGCCTCATGATTTGATTGATCTGCAGAAAGAAACGCGTGTTGAAACTTGTGTTGCCTTGTTGAACCGGTACAGAAATGAAGGAACATTGGATCGAATTGTAACATGTGATGAAAAGTGGATTCTTTATGATAACCGGAAAAGAAAAATGCAATGGCTGACCCCAGGTCAAATGCCACAACAGTGTCCTAAAGCAAAACTTACCAATAAAAACGTAATGGTAACTGTTTGGTGGTCTCAGCATGGTGTTATTCACTATAGTTTTCTCCGATATGGTCAAGCAATAACGGCAGATGTCCATTGTGCCGAACTCCGAACCATGTTGACAAAACTAGCAGTAAAACAGCCCCGACTCATGAATCGATCTTCACCATTATTGCTCCACGACAACGCGAGACCTCACACAGCACGAGAAACCATTTTGACCCTTCAGGAACTGCAGTTAGAAACCATTCGTCATCCTCCGTATTCACCAGACCTTGCTCCAACGGACTACCATTTTTTTCGTGATTTGGACAATTATCTACGTGACAAGAAGTTTTCTTCCCAGGAGGCAGTACAAAATGCTTTCACACAGTTTGTGCAGTCTAGATCGTCGGAGTTCTATCGCAAAGGCATTAATAACCTTCCCATTAGATGGCAGCAATGTATAGATAATAATGGCAACTATTTTGATTAAATAAATTTGTTAAAAATTTAAAAAATAAACAATTTAGATTTTCAGTACAAATCGGCAATTTCATACTTTAACCCCTATTATTAAGTGACGAGACGCACAAGTCCTGCGCCAGATGGTAAGCGACACGCCTGTCCATAACAGTTGCAGTGACACTCAGAACTTTAAATCGCAAAGATCTGAGGGGCACTGCCACTGTGCCAGTCACCCTGCGACATAAGTTGACAAGTCCCATGTGCCTGCAATTTCACCAGCACCCTTACCCTCAATACTCAATATATTTATTGTCATATGGTACATGTCTTAAAATTAAAATGCTACACATATGAGCCCTTTATCAGGGATAACGATAAGAGCAGAGGTAGGCCGAGGTTTCAATTATTAATTAGAATTGTTATTTATGAAATAATAAAATAAAGCCTATAAAATAAAATAACCCTTCAAAACCGAAACGCAGTAATGCTAATATTACTGCGGCAGAAATAGGTAAGGTGGCAGTATTTCCCTGGACGAACTCTTTAACTGGCTTCAAAAACGGAGGAGGTTCTCAATTAGGCTTTTTTGTTTTGTGTGTTACGCGATTATTCCCGCATCTGTGAACCGATTTTAATGATTCTTTTTTTATTGGAAACGGGGTACTCGATATTGATCTCATTTAAATTTGACGAAAATATTTCATCTCTAAGTGGAAACTAGGGGATGAATCTGGTTTCGCGCACCTTCCGGTAACCATTTACAATAAAACTTGGCAAATATATGTCATTCCACGAACTTTTGAGGTACGGTTTTTAAAAAAAAAAAAAAGTTCTAATGATTTGTTAGTTTGCAATCAATTGTATAGATGGCATAGTAACTGTTTCTTTGAATTATTCTCGAAACTAAGTAACGATTTAGCACTGACTTTTTATTTAAAATATTAAAAGTAACTGACTCAGCTTCTTTGCGATTTATGTTATTGTATACAATATATTATGTATAATCACCGCGTCAACAAGAGCAATAACCTTGATAGCTGCCATCTGTTGGCCTTTGCGAATGTTACTACAATCGGATCGGGGGTTTACTCGGCATCATCTATTGATCAGCGTTAGAGACAGAACACACGAAACGGTTTTGACCCGCGCCCGCTGCGGTTGCGGGACAGCTGTTTTATTTCAACATTCACGATACCGCACGTTTGTGCGGTCACGTAGCCGCCGCTGTTACAATAATAGCATCACCTTTCTATTGTATGTGCAAATTAGGAGAAAAACTTCTTACATCAGGCTGCGGTATCTTCGGTTCATGGAAATCAGACCAGAGCTTCCTTGGTATGACAGTAACTGGAATATCATGTGTCACATGCCTTGTTTGCTGAGAGGTTGACGATGGCTGCAAAATTTAAACTAATTCATATTATAATTAACAATTTAAGCGAATTCAGATATCAGACCATAAAATAAAAAAATTGTCACAATTGCTCATGCCAATGCCATTCTCTTATATTGCCCCACACTAGGGTAACCCTTTGTGCTATGGACACATAGACAACCACAAATTACACCCAAAAACATGAGAGAAATAAATGTAGGTCATCGAAATATACCTCTCGGCCTGGAAATCAAACCCAGAATCTCAGCAAAGCAGATGAGCATGGTAGCTGTTCAGCCACAGAGACAGTAAAAAAAGGCATTGTCATTAATATAGCTAGTACTAGTTTTGTGTAGGTCCAGACTATTTGCATCGTTTTAATATGTGCCTTGTTGAAAGTTGTTAGATATTGAATTAAAAGGTCACTACTATTTTGGGAACAATATTTCTATTTGCTATGACTATGGAAAGACTAGACAGAAAATAAGATTAAATATTACATACAGTCTCAATATCCAAAGTAAGGCACGGACACTGCTTCTTTGTTAGCTTCATTTTTAGAGACTTGGCTGTCTTCAATGTAATTAGAGATCTAGCTAAATTTGCTGTAAAGACGAGAAGAGTGGCATATTAGCACATGATTTATATGTGTTTATGGCATTATAAGCAACATCACTACAGCCCACTAAGTGTAGGGTGCAGTAAATGCCTTGATTCCCTTTATACCCCACTTATATGTATTAGTATATAATATACAGGGTGAAGTACCTTGGAGTGTCTAGGTCACTCCCTGAAGTTTTTAGCAAACCGAGGAGGTTGCTGAGCTTCCTGGAAGAGCTTGGGTGGCACAAGTAGGAGCCTGCACCTACCACACGCAAAATAGGCGTCTTGACGTCGAGTTGTGGACACCAGCCCATTACACCATCATCATCATATCGGCCGGAAGACGTCCACTGCTGAACGTAGGTCTCCCCCAAACATTTCCAGACTGGTCAATCATACGTGACTTGCATCCATCCATAAGTATACTGATATAACTTTCGTTATCAATTTAGAGCAATCTATTTTAATATTTTTATATTTGTATGAAAGTAAAAAGAAATCTGATGAATTATTAAGTCATGGAACAAAAGTTGTATGTATTTTACAAATAACCCTGCATATAAATATAATTGGTACAGTGTGGGGAAATAAAAAGCTTTTGTCATGCAAAATAAATAACATTTCATTAAATTTGACCAAGTTCTGCTGTCCCAATTTTTGTTCCAATAAAATTGATGAAATGATCGTTCAATGAAAACAAATCAATCACCACTTGAAAAAATTAATAAATTTTATTCATTTGTAAGGACAACTCATGCTTGACCAAAAAATTATGTATGCCAAAATTATATTCACAAAAAAAGACTTAGTGGTTTCTAAGACAGTTTCCTTATTCCTATATGTCCCAGTTAAAGAAAACACACTGTATATGAAAGTCCAATAATGCAGACAGAAGTATACAAGTAGGGAGACAAGTGCCATGTCACAAGTAAGGGAGCAGAGGCCCTAAAATGAGCCCTATATATGGGAATATATATGATATACTGGGGAGTCATGGTACAATTTGATAGAACCAACAGGGAGAAAGGGTCAAAAACAACATTGCAATGTCACAGGCACAAGTTAATAGTTATATTTAAATTGGAACCTTGTGTGCAGTATCCGTTACACTATAATAACGCACACACTCAACATAGCCTCGAACTAGGGAAACCCTGTGTCGCGGATGCCATGGACACGCACATAGGCAACCACAAATTACACCCAAACTCACGAGATAAATAAATCTAGGCCATACCAATATTTCTCCCGGCCCGGGAATCGAACCCGGGGACCTCTGCGTGGCAGTCCGGTATGGTAACCGTTCGGCTACAAAGGCAGTTATTTTTTCCTAGTGGTCTTATTAATAAGTAGCCAGCACGAATAGGTCTAAGTAACATAAAACATGCTTGTTGGTACATATTTTTTATAATGAAAATATTTTACAAAACAATCGCAACTAAAAAGTAGGGACTGACCTGAACTGAAGCCCAAGTAAATATCCTTATGATCATCATCGAAGCCAACCATTTGGTACTCAGAAAAGAACGTTGCATGAGGAATCTCACACCATAGTATAGGTGGCCCTGGACCGCTGTTGTCATCACTTACAATGAAATACAGCTGATCATCGGCTAGCCGCAACACGCATTCTTTAGACAGTTTCGATATAGTACTCACAATGTCTGAAAAACACGTTAAAATTTGTCTACATCTTACAACTCTTATATCCATAGTATTTTCACATCATATAGACCATATATTTACTTGTAAATTCCCGCATGGGACCGGTATCTATCATTATTGCACGAAATTTCATTTTCTTACATGAATCGTGGATTATTTTAATTTAATATCTAGGATTTAAGTAATATATAAGATTCGCGCCATACATGCGCACGTAGCATGTTGACAAACATATAATTGACAGCGAGCATAGAGAAAATAAGTGTTGCTAAGTTAGTATGCCACCCATATTTTAGGAGAATTCTAATAAATTAATTATTCTCTGTAAATTAATTTTTTAGCGTGTTCGATTGTTTCAAGTACTAAGTTTAGATACTATGAGGCTGCTACAAATGGACTGCATGTCTGCAGTCGTGTACAACTGCGTGCAGTCGAAAGTTCAAAATCAGCCGCAGACTTGCCGCAGTAGATGCAAACGATAGCTATCGTTTTTTTATTTACCAGATATAGTTGGTAAATAAAATAGTAGCTGACATTTCAAAAATAATATAATGATTTTTTGTGTCTGAAGCAATTTGATCTTTAAGGGTGAAGGCTAAAGACAACGGTATTTTGAGTGTGTAATCAATTTTATGGTAAAACGAAAACACGGCTAGTGGAACATTTGTCGATGGATTTAAATAGTTTTACATTTTTTTACTACAAATTCCACCGCAGAGTACATACACTCAGGGATAATGGACGTAAATTTGTTTGCAAATTAAATTACTTAAATTGTGAATGCTTATTTCTTTAATAAAAATCACCAGTAACATCTAAAATTTCGACACCAACTAATAGCTTCAGAAATAAGCGCGTGGTGAACATTGTCGACTGAGTGCAGTTGTGCATATTATATCGACTATGTGCATGCAGTCCGTTAGTAGAAGTGAATATCAGATGTTTTTGTAAAATTGATTTTATTGCATATCACACTGTTTTACAAACACTATATTCAATCATATTTGTGAAATTACTCTACTAATTTGTTATAATTATTATTACAATGCATATAAATCTTTAGCTATAGAATAGAAGGTAACCCAATGGTTTGACCTACCGCCTCTCAAGCGAGAGGGCTGTGGGTTTGAATCCAGACTCGCACCTCTGATTTTTTCGCTTGAGCTACCATGAGCTTTTCGGTGAAGGATTGAGTAATGAGAAAACTTGCATGTTGAAATAGGTTCACAAAGTTCGGAAAACCTGTGAAGTCTTCAACCCGCATTGAGCATGACAGACTTTGGCCTAAGCCCTCGCTTGAAGGGAGACTCATGTGTGCCCAGTAGTGGGTTAATGATAATTAATACAAAGATCGAACACAAAGAAAAATTCCTTCGATTTAACAGAACTCCAACCTGCATCTGTATGTCGATTTAGAGCAACAAAAGATTTTTTTCAGCAAATCTTATGACAATCAATAGTGGTAAAAATTGTAAATATTCGTGATATATGATTTTTCTTAATAATTGAACCCTAACATTACATTAAATTATTTTAAGATAAAACAACAACGTTTTTATTTTTTTTCATCCCTAGTGCCACGTGAACCAACGCCTCAAAAAAATGTAATATTAAATTTTTTGTTTGTACTAGCCCGTTTCATTTTTGTACGAATTAATTCAGTACGAATGAATTTTGTACTTTTCTTTCTTTTCACTTAATCATATATTGAAATAACAGAGTAGCTGCTTAATATGCTTAAGACTTGCTTTATTGAAGTAACAAATTACTCACAAACATAAAATGTTTATAAATAAAAATGTGAAAAAAAATATTCACAGCACTCACTTTTTACATTTGCTTTAAAATCAAGCGTGACATTTTATTTCGAACCTTTTTTATTGTAAGCGATATAAAGTAGAATATAACCTTAAATGTCAAGATTGAAGTGAAGTTTACCCTACACCTACATAATATGCGAGAAGTACGCGTACCATTATATTCCCTGTATATGAAGTAGGTAGTTATGTAGTGGACTGCTACCACAAAAATTTAGTCAAAAATTTTTAATTTAGAAGGACAAATGAGTTTTAAAACGAAAGTTTGGAATTTAAGAAAGGAGCCTTCCTACACGACGTATTTTTTCTTACCTGTACATCTGGCGCACCCCAACCAAAATCGGTGAGCACCTTACGCGGATTGGCAAATCCTTTCACCACGACGGCAACTAGCATCTAACATCGATACTTTAAGGTAAACCTAGCTTACGAATGGTATGTGTTCGAACGAGTTGCTAACGGTAAAAATTATAGAGTATGCCATCAATACTACAAGAAAAAGAAAACGAAAGCCTAACAATTTTATTGTTTAGTGTTAGAAAACTTACTAACACTAATATTATTACTAACTCCAGGTGTGATGTTACATAAAAGTCATTCTTGCATATAAATCAGCATTTGTACAGTCATATACATGAGACTCCTGACCCCCTAACATGCCGACCCCCAAACCAACCTTTTGGTTCTGAGAGCTATCTTTCGTCAAATAAAGAAAAAATTAAAGCATTTTCAACTTTATTGAGTGTTGCTTGAAGAGGTTAAAGATTAAGTTTGTTTAAAAATTTTCCTCACATTTTTGTGCTCAGAACTAATTTTGGGGTCAGATATCTTATGTATATGACTGCAATTGAGAAACATTAAAATAAAAATAAAAATTAATGACACTTGGTCAAGGGGTCAATTCGTGGAGTACATATTTTGCCAGTTTTAGAGTCGTATTCCAGAACTCTACTCAATGCTCAAGTCAGGATTTAAGCAGACTTGACCCTAATGGCAAGGACTTGAGTGTGATTTCTAGTGCTTTAAATCATACTCAAGTCCTGATTTGAGCATTGAGTAGAGTTCTGGAATACGACCCTTAAACTACTATAGTCATCACCAAATAAGAGGCCAAATTTGACACTTGTCATCGCGACGTGAATAAGAATGTGAAATGATCGTATCGGTAACCACATTAAACGATTTTCACGAGAAATCGATTCAAAATTTTATGAGTTTGTGATTGTTGAGATTATTTTACGGTTCTAGATAGTATAATTAACATTTATTGAAACATACAGTTCAATAAAAATAATAAATATTTTAAAAGATCACGATGACAACTTGTACTTGTTGTTATAGTCATATTAGCACACTACATTAATAAGGACAACCTGTAGTTATATAACAAAATTGTGATGTAAAACAAAAGGCTTCATAATTTAAATTTATATTCACTGTTCTCAGAAGACGAACCATAATCATCAGTTGAACTAGTGGTACCAGTATATATAATTAATTAGTTCTTAATGATATTGTCAATATTTACATATTTATCAAAATCTTTCCATATTAATTTTTTGGTTTTTCGAGTGCCGCTGGATCGATATCAGTGTAGTCGATTCAAAATTTGCAAAAAAGTAAATTAAATACTAATCTGTATGGCTTTACAGCTAAGTTAATATTTTTTCCGAGAAATTTAAGTGACTCGGTGAAATTCGCCGATTGTTTGTTTGCAACACTTTTAATAAAATAAAAATTGAAGATGTAACTGTTTTCAGAGCGTTTCGGAGTAACTGTAAAATGCATGTTTTTCTGGAATTCGTGTGAAGACAGTACTTGAAATATATTTGGTCAAATTATAATAGTGTGTTAATAAAATTTATATAATTATGTTTTTAAGCTCAATAATTTAACAATTGTTTGTTTAGTGTTTCGTTGATTGCATTCGACGTTACATACTATTGACTGCTTTAGCTGTTAAATTTGGCCTCGTAATTGGTGACGAGTTTAATACGTGAATTTAAAGATATATTATTTTATTTTAAAACAGATTTTCAAAATTGGGTAATACTACACATTTCAGTGGAAACACAAAACCATAGACAAGAATGTTTACTGTACTTCCTATCTAAAATGGCGTTGGCATAAATACAAAAGTTCTATTTGGGGCTATCTTCTTTCCTTGTCTAATTAAATGAATCTGTACAGGCGAAAGAAAGAAACAGTGAATATTCTCTTTTGGATTGTAACGAATACTAACGAATTGTGGTTAGAACTTGAAATATTTTGTCGTATTTTCCCACTAAATTGTGCAATTTTCAATCTTATTCAGTGAAAAACAGTTTATTTATACTATTAGATTTAGTTTATTACCTTTATTTTTACACCGAAATATCTTAAAAAAGGTATATGGAGAATAAATGTGTGTACGAGGTATGTGTTCGATCGATAATGTCATCATTATGAATGTTAGAATAACCACAAAATAAACTTTCTCACATAACGTATCTTCATAAACATCAGCGTGTGACCTAATTTGTAGCTAATTTCATGGATGTTGATATTGTATCATTGCCTAAACATAATTATTTCGTTGCATCTTCCAAGGGGACACCGTTAACCCTAACGTTTTTACTTCGAATTCGATCTTCAAATATTAACGGATTCGTATTTAAAAATTTGCAAACGGGTTTTGTAGCGAATGTTTTACCATTTTGCAAAACAAAAGCTATCATTTGTCAAAATGCACGTTTTTCTCCATCAAAGCAGTTTTCATTTCATACTACGCGTTTGCTTTGCGTTGTAATGGGTTCAATGTCGATGCGTTCCGTCGTCCGTTCCGTTCATCCGTAGACTAGGTATTGGTATTATGCAACGCAAAACAACAGAACTACTCTACGTGTTTTACGTTAAGTCTTGTATTATGTTCATTGTTATTATGTTATAGAGTTTAGACATTGTGCATTCCATATTGCATTTTTTTATCATTTTGTATAATGGTTATCATTATCAGACCGGTTAGTCAGCGGAATGAGGTCAACTATGCGAGCAGAGTAGGTTAGAGATGTGTTGCATTTATTTAGCGTTTTGTGTAATATAATTGGTCGTGATGGAACATTGTCTCAAATAGAGCTCGAGCTCGACTCTATTCAACTCATGACCAAGTATCTAATGCTGTAGTGGGGCGTTGATATAGGGTATTTGAGTGAAACATTAATAATTACAATTTTTTTTCACGAAATTTTTTTAAATATTAATGCTAATTGGAATGTTGAATTGAAAATAAGGAGTTGCCATTGCAATTTTGCACTATCGACATAGTATACAATAGACAAAGTGCACCGTCGTTGCATCGGTGTAATGAAGCATTGAGTGAACTTCCGATCATATAAATTTCGACGTAATAGGAGTTTGATCAATTTATTAATCAAATAAATATTTGACCATTCGGTGAATTGTTTCCCACAAACGTCTTTCTACGTTATGTAGCTATCTACTTATAATAAGTATGATTCTTAACTTTACCATTCTATTTAATTGACTGCGCCGAAATCGGATATGCAAACAGATTAATTGGACTTCGGAGCTACAATTATTTATTAGAGTTTATTGAGTATGATATTGGAGACGGTTACGAACGAGATTATCTCTAGAGCCTCTACATGCGGCATATCCATACCATTCTTTTTCAAAGCGATCTTTATAGCAAGTTTTAAAACTTGCATTTCACGACGTTTTTCATTGAATGGAATCTTGTCATCGAATTTTCAAATAAGCTTAAATTTTGTTTTTAGCATGGAGGATGAAAAAACGAAGGCTTTTCTGCAACTTCAGCGTCTGCGGAAAAAGCTATCTTCTGTAGCTGAAGAAGATTATGTGATTGTCAAGGATGAGTAAGTACATATTTCTGTTAGTTTCTTTCAGTAAACAACGAATGCAACCCTTCGTGGACTTAGAAGGCTTTAGTTCTTTTCAATAATTTGTATGTTACCTAGGCCTTGTATTCTCCATGCCTCTAATGGACCTTTCTAAACTAATTCTAACGAATTGTGGTGAAATTCATTAACAGAATTAAAAATTTCGTGGAAACTGCCCAAAACTTACTAGATTTGCAATAACCTAATACAAATAATAAAATCCAATCAATAATGAACCTCGATTTACCATTGATTCTATGATATACTGCTCTTGATTCGCGTAATGTCTAGTAAAACTTTTCTAAAATTTTCTTAGATGGAAGTTTTTTTTTATTTTGATTGTATTAGGTTTCATTTGAATTTAATCTTACATTAAAACGGTGGTATCTTCCTACGTTTATATTGTAGGTAATTTATTGTCTCCCCCAATAATTCTTATAATTGACAATATATCGTGAGAACTTGTTATGCTAATACAAATTTATAGTTCTACAATTAATTTATTTATATAATCGCCCTTAATGGCGTTGCGTAAATATTTTATACGATTTTAGTCTAGTCAATATAATCGCCTCGTACTTTAGCGTTTTAACAATCTGACTAGTCGTCGCAATGTGGTAGAGAATTTAGCATACTTGCCTCTAGATAATAAGTGCTTATTCACTCTTTTGTCTTGAAGGAGTCCAAGTTATATTTTTTTCGGTGAACAGATCAACAGGTAGGGAATTGTCTATGGTATGCGACGGTCACGATCGAGAGCAAAAATATCCCTTATCATTCATCATCATCAACCAATGCATACGTCCCACTGCTGTGCATGGGTCTTCTCTCAGGCGTGGGTTTAGGGCCTAAATTTTGGGTTATAGTCGCTGGCCTAATGCCACGGGATTTCACACGTTTTCCGAGGGTTGAGATCCTTTTTTGACGTGCAGTTCATCACGATGTTTTCCTTCACTGAAAAGCTCATGGTAAATTTCAAATAAAATTCCCTTAACAATATTTCGAGGCATTTTATAAATTCAATGGACAAGATGTGGAAGGTATGACCAATAAACCTTTGGTCTAGTCAAAACCAGAATAATCAGTGGAAAAATTTGTGAACATTGACAATAAATTGAATATAGACATAGAAAATGCTAAGTGCTATCAAGGCATGTCTGTCAAAATGCTTGTCTAAGTGTGAATTGTATGTACAGATATATTTAGACCGTGAAATACTTATTATGAAATATTACAATGAACTGATTAACGGATCCTGAACTCTCTTCAGCAACATGTTAGCATAATCTTAAGCATGGCAAAATTATAACATTGCAATAAAACGTCCCAATTAAGTTCTAAATTCCACGGCCAGAACCACCAGCAGGGGCGAGACGGGAGGTACATTTCCCGCGCTCACAACTTGCGCCAGCCGCATACACGTCAGTCCGGCACCGCGCGCGTTACGGCCGAGATTCCTCGCGTCGCTCTCCAATAAAATATATTATTAAAAAAATAATTTTTGTCTATTGCTTTTTTTGGCGGGTTTTCGTGAAATGTTCGCGGAATAGTTAGGTTATTAGAAGTGAAATAATTATTTCGAAATGTTGGATTAAATATAACAATGAGTCTAATGTTAAACGATAAGGGTGGTTTATTTCAACACGGACCGTAATTAGTGTGGAAGCAATGCAATTTCCAAGTAATGAGGAGGACGACTTACAATATCGGATTTTTGGCGAATCCTTCAGCTTTCCTGTGGAAGGGAGTAGCTTGGCAAACTCGCAAAATGCAAACGCCGGCCGCTGTAGAAAGTGAGTCTTATTGTCTTTACCTTATGTTAAGCATAACTTTAATACTAACTCTTTTCCTTGCATGTTTCAATGCATGAAAATTGAGTTTGAAAAGACACTAGCAAGATCTTCCATAGTTAATTTAAATTTCGTACGAAACATACCTATACTATATGGATATTTGTAATTTCTACATTCCTATACGGGTGTGGCTTAGACCATTACATCAATAAAATTTTATGTAAACTACCTACATTTATTTTTAATTTTGATTTTTTCTAATATTAATTAATTTCTTGTTTCGCAACCTTAAATGACAAAAATAGAGGTAGTGTCAACCCCAAATAACATGAAAATAAGGTTCATATAGCCATAACTTAAGCTTTACAAACTGAAATTTTGGACGCTATGTAATTAATGTAAGGTACAGTTTTCCACAAAATTGTGTGATCCATCATTCCTACCTAAAACACACGAGCTCTTTAGGTATGAAGACCGATGCATGTAAAAGATGGAAATACTTGGTATACCTTAAGTATGCATCGATTGTATTTAGATAAATAGAGCTCACCCTATTACGGAACAGGCAACAGACGTTATGCTATGCATACCTAGTTGTTGTAACATTATATTAGGTAGGCGTAATGAAATCTATGCTATGGTGATGATAACTTATTTTAAACATAGCAGGCTCTAAAAAGGTGAAATTAGAAACTGTTCAGGTGTTAAACTCTTCAATATTCTAAAATTTCACACACGCTAAACGTTTACCTAATTTGAATTCGGCGTCCTCGTGTGACCTTCAACCCGTTCGATTATCCTGCGTGATTTTCGAAACCTTGAAACGTGAGTTCAAGGTTTCATTACTATCTGTGTAACTATACCTGTAATTATGTCAGTATAGGCCTATTCCTTCTTGTTAAGTGCATGTGTACTTAGTACAAGTTTTAATAGAATTGCCGACATTATAACTCGTAGAGGTTATCTTGGGTCTTTGCAGCAGCAGCAGCAAGCATGATAGCCTGTTTCTCTTGAGTGAGACAGCAATTGCAAAGGGTGCTTGCTAAAAGCATTTACAAAATAAAATAGATACTTGAGCCATTCCAAAGTGACGGGTGGGACATTTTGGCTCCTTTTTTCTTCAACTTTAAGTAATTTCTTCCTAACCATGGGTTAGTTGGACTTAAAATGAAAATATGATGAAGCCAGATATCCAATATCAACTCCGACTATTTATTTACACAAATTTATGACATTATTTATACTCAAAACTTTTAATTTTCTAAGTGTCACGGGTGGGACACTCACGACACCCGCCTGTTTGAGTTGATGGCTTCATTGCCGAGATCAAGACAAACTATCAATATTTTGTTCAGCAAGTTTTTCATATGAGATAACTTGAATGTTAAAGTTCTATTTTATATATACACTTAATGAATAACTTTGATAAATTTTAAGGAAAGGTTAAGTTAAAATATGTGCAAATAGTGACGGGTGAGACGAGTTACGATTGAATACACAGAATTAATAAAATTACACTGTTTAATATGAGATCCATCGTTTGTAAACAAATATTTTATAATTTTTGTCTTATTGAGACATTTTAACATAAAAAAAAAACAATTAAAGAACTGATAAAGTAATCTTATTATTTTTCTTGAAACACTATCTATGATGACATGAAATCAACTTAAAAAAAACCTAAACTTAAAATGCCTCAATAAATTTGAAAAATCCTGCCGCATTCTTGAAGATTATGTATCATGTCAAAATATATCAAATTTTAGAAGTTTTGCGCGAATATAGAGTTAAAACTAATGGAGACTGACTTTTCAAGAATTTCCTGATACTAAAAATCATCAGGAAAAGTGTTGTTACTTTTTAATTGCCTTTTTTTATGTGTTAAATGTCTTAATTATGAGAAGACTTATAAACAAAATTGCTAACAAATGATGGATCTATGTATAAACAGTGTATTTTTTAAAATTCTTTGTAATCAAATGTAACTTGTTCCACCTGTCACAAAATGGTGTCCCAAGCGTCACAATTTAACACACCAAATGTTAAACTCCGAAATTAAAGCAGCTGTTACACCTAGTAAACATCGTAAAAACTCTAATCCGTGAAAATATAAACATTTATTCATAGTAAAAACGTTTAGAAGTGTGTCCGTATTAGTACGGGAAAAACTTGAATTCGAGCTGAGGTAGTATCGACTGTTAAGATATATGTCAGATGACGGTAAGAAGCAAAACTTGAGAATATTTTCCACATACTAAATATGTTATAGTGATACCAATTGTTTATTTTGACTTGAAACGATCTTACCGCTACCCTCGTTGCTGATGAGTTAGTTATAGCCCCCCCACCACTGCCATATGATTTTTTTTTACATTACTATTTTCTAAAGTCTAAGCTTCGGAGTCGTTCGAGTATTACGGGAACAGGCGAATATTGAGAAATTTTAATCCGATAGAGCGTCACCTCTAGTATTACCTAATAACACTGTTTAGGTAAACATTTAAGTGATTAGTTCAATGCGTTTATGCTGTTGTCATGAAACAGCTGCATATGTTTTCATGAAAAACATGGAAAAAATTCAAATACAGAAAGTCACTGTGTAACTTAGAGTGGTTACACACGACGACTTTTAGCAGGATGCAAACGCGGTGTAACACGCGATTACTTCGCTATGCTTGCGATTGCATCGATGCAAACGCGCGACTGCATCGATAGAAACGCGCGATTGCATCGCTACAGCATCGCGTTTGCATCGCTACAGCATCGCGTTTGTATGGCTACAGCATCGCGTTTGCATCGATGCTCAAAGTCGCCGTGTGAAACCGCTCTTAACCAGAATATTATCTTTAATTTCTCTTTTAACGTAAATTTCAAATTGCAGTATCGAGTTGATGACTGAGACATTGTAATGTCAAATAGTACATTACAATGTCATAATTATATTAGCAATGCAATAGGAAACTTCAGTAAAACTCGAATAGTTATGAAGCTCGTATTGTAAATAGTAACATACTTATGTTTAATGGGTACTACATAGGTTATCTTTCATCTTAATTACCATGACACGGCCTGCCTTTTGCCGTAACGTGGGCGGATAACCCACAACTTTATGAGCGTGCTAAAATGTAAAAGCTTGATTTCAGACGATGAACAGTCCAGAATTTCATTCATAAAGACGGACCATCGAGGCCTTGTGGTCCGTCTTTATCCGGAGTGATATGTTAATATTTTGCTATTTATGGGTTTATTATCTCACTCAATATTTATTAAAACTCGACTCCACATTGAATTTATTGGTTGTTAATTACACCTATATATTCTGTATGTATTCTCCACAGTGTTCATTCCAGACTTGCGACAAAAATCTTGATAGGTACAACCTAATTTATTTTTATTAAAACATTACTCCTTGTTGACTTCATTCTAAAGTAGTAGATTCTTTAGTAGCAGTAGAGCTCCTTGTTAAAGAGTTCGACAAGGAAAGTACTGCCACCTTACCTATTTCTACCGCCAAGCAGTAATGTTAGCATTACTGTGTTCCGGTTTTGAAGGGTAAGGGTGTTGGTGAAATTACAAGCACATGGGACTTGTTAACTTATGTCGCAGGGTGTCGGGCGCAGTGGCAGTGCCCCTCAGATCTTTACGATTTAAAGCTCGTGAGTGGCACTGCAACTGTTATGGACAGGCCTGCAGCTTACCATCAGGCGCACGACCTGTTCGTCTCGTCACTTGATATTATTAAAATAAAAATAAAATCTAAAACTCTGAACTACATAGTAGCAGGATACTTATGTAAAAAAACTTCGGTTGAAAATGCAAAACCACGCTATGGCAAAAGCCTGGGAAAGTACCACCGCTCTTTCCGTTTCTACCGCAAAGTGTGATTGTTATTTTCCCGATTGAAGGATGGAGGATAAAGGACGAACTGAAATGGAGATTCACAGGATCTGGAGGCTTAAGATCTCATGTCCCATGTCCTTCAAGTCCTTTACGCTATTACAGATATAATGGGTGATTCGTTTGGAGGTACTTTTTTCAAAACTAAGAAAAATTTAATAAAAACAAATTTATCGAGTTATCTTTATTATCATACAAAAAACCATTCATTACATTTATTTTTTAAACATTATTTCTTTCAAATATTGGCCATAAGCGGTTAACGTGGTCCATTCTGCAGTTCCAATTTTCGATGACGCGTCCGAGAATTTCGATTGGTATTTGGCGAATAACGCGAGTAATGTTGGCTTCCAATTGCTCAATCGTACCCGGCTTATCCGTATATAGCCCCAAAGTAAAAAGTCTGGGGGTGTGATGTCACAAGATCTAGGCGGCCAACTCACCGATCCGAAGCGTGAAATTAACTGTTCACGCAATACAGACTGGATTATCTTGCCATGATAACGGACTATTTGTTTCCTGAAATTGAAGCCCGTGATCTCCTGGACATTTGGTACCAACAAGACTGCGCCACTTGCCAAACAGCACGTGAAATCATGGCTTTATTGCGTGAACAATTTGGTGAACAGTTAATTTCACGCTTCAGACCAGTGAGTTGGCCGCCTAGATCTTGCGACATCACACCCCTAGACTAATTCTTTTAATAACTAATCTATACGGATAAACCGGCTACGATTGAGCAACTGGAAGCCAACATTACTCGCGTTATTTGCCAAATACCAATCGAAATGCTCGAACGCGTCATCGAAAATTCGAACTGCAGAATGGACCACGTTAACAGCAGTTACGGTCAATATTTGAAAGAAATAATCTTTAAAAAATAAATGTAAAGAATGGTTTTTTTGTAGGGTAATAAAGATAACCCGATAAATTTGTTTTTAAAAATTTTTTTCAGTTTTGAAAAAAAAGTACCTTCAAATGAATCACTTGTTACTTCTTACCTTAGTATCGCAATGTCTATTGCCAACGGCAACAAAACTTAACACCAGTCTATGCCTTAATTTTGACTTGGTAGTCAAATAAAACCATTCATTACGTACCAG